TTTTTTTTTGGCCTTTTTCTTTTTGCCTTTTACCCGTGGTGCAGTGTGAATGCTATTTTTAACTACTGATACAAGAATTCTATGGAGTGATTGGTGGTGCAGTGTGAATGTTGTGGTGCAGTGTGAATGCTATTTTTAACTACTTATACAAGAATTCTATGAAGTGATTGGTGGACGGTGGTGCAGAGTGAATTCTATTGGTGGTGCTATTTTTAACTACTGATACAAGAATTCAATTCTATGGAGTGATTGGTGGTGCAGAATGTTATTGTTAACTGTATATGATATTCAGAGAGATTGGATGACTCTATTATAGAGTCATTCCTAATTTCCATGATTTACTAAAGCGGACCGGCTGGTCTGACCGATGAATCGGGAACCAATCAGTTCACCGGTTCGGTCTTTAGAAATAACCGGCTGTCAATAAAATCGGTTAATGGCCGGTTCAACCGGTCAAAATCGGACAAAACAAGATATAAATCGGTTGGTTCAATCAGTCAGACAGTCAGCATTGCTTTTTATCTACGTAAGTAATTTCTCACACATTTATCATGCAGCTTTCTTGTTACATAAACCGAGACAAAACTAGTAATACAGTTCAATAAAGAGGCGCAGTGAGCATCTTTAACAATGAGGTTTTGAGTGAGGTTTAAAATTACAAACTTTAGGTTTTCCATTAAAATTGATAGGTTTGAGCTTTGTGTTTACAAAGCCGGTTTGTGCAGAGAAACTTCAACAAAACCTCTAAATAATTTATAGAAAATATTAAAGTAAAAGAAAAGTCATGTGGCGGTGCGGTCTCAACTAAGTAAAATAACTAGAGATGTGCATTCCACGCTCCCAATTGTGCGTAAATCACGTGGGGCCCAATCTCATATCACATATAATCTTATTTTTTCTTTTGCTTCTCCATTCTCGTTTTTCTTTTTCTTTTTAATAAATATGTTATATGGTTTTGTTTTGCATTTTTAATAACTAGTTCATGAAATGAAATATGAAATTACTAGTACAATACCCGTGTATTACACGGGTGCTTGTAAAAAAATTATCTTTAAATTTTAAAATTAATGAAAAAATTATATTAAATTTAGTTTACTTTTTTACAAAAAAAAAATATATTACTATATATTTTAGAATGATATGTGTTACTTATGACTTACATGTGTTATATTATATTAGTTTTTATAACTTATATCATATAACTACTTGAAATATAAATATATTAGTTGATAAATAATTATATTTTTCTAATTAATATTAAAAATAAATTATTATTGTTATAAAGATAAATATAAATTATTTTTTTTATACATACAAATGGATGTTAAATTGAAGCTTATCAAAAGAAGATTAATTTGATATATTACATATGTAAAACTGATAAAAAATACAAAAGTTATTAACTTTTAAAATATATATACAATTCAATAGTTATAATAAGGAATGATATTAAAATACAATTAATACATGTAACATGACCATAAATAATCAACATATTTATGGTAATCCAAACCTAATTATTTTTTATTTGGAATTAAATTAAAATTTACCCAAGCCTAATAACGAAACATGTAATTTTGCCACATAGGATTCCGAAGCACCAGAAGCAGCCACGTAGGCTCAGCGCATTCTGTATTAATATATAGGGGGAATTTCTAAATTAACAAGTATTAATATCAACTATAAATATAATTAGTTATAAAAAATGATTGAGAGAAAAAAAAAAAGCGATGAATAATTGAATAAGAACGAGTTACAATTGTTGTCAAAAACATAATTGAAAACGAGATACTTTTGAAAAAAAAACGAACACTACAAGAAACAAGCTTAAGAGGAACGACAACATTGAAACGACAATTACGTTGTGCCAATAGAAAGATATATTGCAACGACATAAAATTGTCGGGCCCATAAATAGTTTGCTCTATTGCAACGCCAAATGTCGTGTCAACATTACAAATGTTGTTACTGTAAGCGCGATTCTTTAGCAACAACATTATGTTGTTATAATAGATATACTGATTGTGTCAATAAAACATGCCAGCTTAATGACCCACCAACCGTGTGACCAAATGGCTGCAGATCAATTAATGTCATATTTCTTCATTAAGCATTTTTTTTAACTACTTTTTATGCACGATTTAATTTGGATTCATATTTTTTATATTTTATTTTTTAAATATTGGCAACAAGACACTTAATTTGGATATATATATAGGGAAAATTAAATCTTATATTCAATTTAGAATAATAATTAACATAGACATTTAATTTAAGAAATATAATAAAAAAGAGAAGTAAAATAAATATATAATTAACAAAATGACAAAAACATGGATATCTACTAAATACAAGTTAATTTAATATACGTTAAAAAAAAAAATCAAACTAGTTATAATATACATTATCTTTATTTATTAAATTATAACATAATTAAGTTAATTTTTTTTTTTTCAAATACTTAAGTAATGATTATTAAACTTTATAAGTTTGAGTTGTTGGGATATATGAACATCTCGTTATGTACAAATCATGAATTCAATAGCAAACGTAAACTTATGCGCAACGGATCTAAAAGTTTGACGTAGAAAACTTACGGCTTAAAATTTATGGCGATTTGGCTGATCTTCTAGCTTAAAAGTTTCACACGAACTGGATTGGATCACAAACGGAATGTCGGGCTCACAATCAGATAGCGTGGACGGGCTGGCCAGGTCGAATCGAGGGTGGCGGGCTGCCTGCGTCGGGTCGCTGGTCTCAACGGTTGGTCGCGGGCGTGTCGCGCCTCCTCGCCGGTCGTGTCGCTGGTTTCTGGGTTGCTCGTGGCGGTCGACAGCTACTTCACGGTGGCGTTTCGCGGGGCCTGCGGCAGTCGGCGGTCCTCGAGCTCGACTCGTGGATCGTCGATTGCTGTAGAAGATTATTAAAATACTTGGGGGTTAGCCTACTTACTCTAATTAATTAAATAATACTAAATGGGTCACCAACATAATATTACTGCACTCTATTTTCCTATTACAATTTACAATTGAGACTCCAATAATAATTACTCGATTTATCTCTCCATGTTTAAGATATAATGTCTATTAATTAATTCAATTACTAGTGCAACTAATCAGTCAAGACAAACTGTACAGCGGACACTACAACCATTCTGATGGGGTGTTCATGCCCGTCTAGGTTGTGAATCAATAATTCTTGTTTGGTCGGTAGTGGTATTTCGGGTTTGGAATCCTTCTTTGGTCGACTGTTCTCGGCTGGCTGGGTCTTTTCGATTGCTGGGGAAGGGCTTTGTGTGTTTGTTTAGTTTTTTAACAGTTTGGTGTCTTTGTCTTGTTATGTGTTGTCTTTATGTTTTTGTCGTTTTTTTGGTGTTTTTGTTAGTTGTTGTGTTTTAGGTTTGGATCGTTTGACCTCAGTTAGCCCGAGTGTGAACTTATTATCCTTTTGGGACCACACACTCGGGCATTACTCTGTTGGGGCCATTTTAATGTTGGATTGTTGTGTTGCGTGGTTATTACCGTGTTAGGGTCGTCTCTAGGCGGGCTTCGTCCTGTCATTTCTAGTTTATTCAGCTGGTGGCTGTGTGTTGTCAGCTGGTAGTTATATTTGCACATTTGTGCCGTTATATAAATTCTCTATCGTTTCGAAAAAAAAAAACACGGGGATGCACCATCTGACATGTATAGTGATGATGACATGGAGGACGATACCGTGGATGAGCCAAATGATGATATGTTGACAGAGTATAGCGATTCGGACTGAAGACATAATTTTCAATATTATATTTCATGAGTAAAATGGTTATTATTATTATTCGTAAAACATAGAAGTGAAACGAGGTTGTTTTGTCTAAAAAAAATTAGAGTTACTTGGCAGCTCGGAAAAAAAAAAATTAAAACGATTAATTGAAATAAGAACGAGTTACAATTGTTGTCGAAAGTTAAAACGAGGTACTTCCTAAAAAGACGAACTCCAACAAACAAAAGTTTGTAAAATAAATAAGTAAAGCGAGGTCGCTTGGATTAAAAAAATTCGAAAGAGATTGAACTTAACAAACAATGCTCGAACTCGAACAAGCAATTGTAAATGAATATTATATATAAGTAACACT